AGAGAGAGAGAGAGAGAGAGAGAGAGAGAGAGAGAGAGAGAGAGAGAGAGAGAGAGAGAGGAACTCTTACACACGTCTACGTAGATACCGATTGCTGCATAGCTGACGCGCCATCGGTTCGTCGGTACGGCGAAACCTACTGCCGCCTCGTTGTGTTCTCCACTGCCTCCACACACGCTGCGCTGCCGCGCTGGTGAGAAGCCCTCTGTGCGTAGACCGACAGCGGAGGCGGGAGCCACGTCAGCACGCTGGGCGTTTTTACGAGCGTACACATCGTTTTTTGGAATCGGCGACGCGTACAGTGACTACCAATAGAGAGCGCGAGAAAAGGAGAGAGACAGAGACACAACAGAAGGGAAGAGGAAGAGAAAGAGAAAGAGAGAAAGAGAGAGAGTGAGAGAGAGAAAAAGGAAGAAAGCGAGAGAGAGATAGAGCGAACGTGCGAGAGAGAGGAGTTCCATTATCTGGCGGTGTGAGCAACAACAGACTCTAAAGATGCCGCAAGGATTCCTGAGGGTTAAGCTGATGGTCGTCGAGCCGGCGGGCATGTTCCGCGATCCTTTCTGCGCAGTCAACGTCAAGGAGACGATCGAAATCTCAGGTAAGTACGAGTAGTGATTGTTTTCGTGGAGAAGCGATAAGGAAAAGAGAATGGAGAGGAAAGAGGAGAAGGAGGATGTGGAGGGAGATGCATTGGGAGAGAAGGAGGAAGAGGAAAAGGAGGGGGATTAGGAGGAGGATGCATGGGGAGGAGGAGAAGGAGAATGATGAGGATTATGTAGGAGGATGAGGGGGAGGAGGACAAAGAATAGGAGGGGGAGGAGGGGCAGGAAGGATGAGAAGGAGGGATAGACATTCTGAATATTATGGTGGCGAGGATGTGGATCAGGGAAAAAGAAGAAGAGGAGAAGACTCGGAGGTGGCAGAGGAGGAGGGACGAATGATGAGGGAGAGGAGGATGAGGATGAGGAGGTGGAGGGAGAAGAAAATGGGAATGCATTGACAATATCATGTAAAAGCAAGCGTGGAAGGTTGTAGAAGTAAGAAAGTAGAGCAGGTGGACAGGGAATGAGTGGAAGAAGGAGAACGCTGATGAGGCGGAGGAGGAGGAGGCGGAGGAAGAGGGGAGGAGGCGGCGGAGGAGGGGAGGAGGCGGCGGAGGAGGAGGAGGAGGCGGCGGCGGCCGGAGGAAAGAGGCGGAGGAAGAGGGGAGGAGGAAGCGGATAGAGGGAGGAAAGC